CATCTCATGAAGCCACATTAAGCCAAGCAAAAGATTCTTGGGTGACCATGGGAGATCAAGTTGGTTACAGTGCTGCAAATACCTGATCAGTCTCTGTCTCCTCCCTTCACTGCTGAGCATGAGCACCCACAACACCTCTGCCACCTCCCTTCCCTGCTGAGCAGTGAACATCCCCATCAACACCTCTGTCACCTCCCCTCCCTGCTGAGCAAAGCTACCTGTGACAACCCCAGAGGGCCTGGACAGAAACAGGATTGCAGAGAACAGAGGATTGTGCTGCTGGCTTCTGGATGCTGGAGCACAGCTCAGCTGGAAAACGCCTCTCTAGAGGGAATGAACAGGGCAGATGTTTGAAGTGGCTTCATTTTTTCACATGATGTAGAAAATAACAAACCCAGAGGGGTGCCTGACCCCCTCACTTACCTGGGAGCTCAGCTCTGGCAGGGGCTGCCGACAGCCGGGTGCTCCTGCCCACCCAGCGCCAGGCTGGAAGGTCGGAGGGTGCTGGTGGCTCGTTTTTCACACCTGCACTGCCCACAGGTCACTTTTTCCCAGCCTCCTTCATTCCGTAGAGCCCTGGGTTGAGTCACACCCACCTGGCAGACAGAGCAGTGGCCACATCAGTAGTGTTGGGGCAGGGCTGGAGCTGGGCTGGTCCAGTGTCCCAGCAACCTGAGGGCATCACCAGGAGGCAGTGGAGGTGATCATGGTCTCAGTCCCAGGTCTACATATCCTCTTGTCCCCTGCATGCTCAGGGACACTCTGGGGGCTGTATGAAGGGTGGCAGCACCCCCATAGTGGTGGAGTCCCCGTCCCTGGAGGTGTCCAAGGAATGACTGGATGTGGCACTCAGTGCTCTGGGCTGAGTTACAAAGTGGGGATCGGTCACGGGTTGGACTCCATGGTCTGGGAGGTCTTTTCCAACCTTAATCATTCTGTGATACCCACCCACCCTGCAATCTCAGCCCAGGCAAAAATTTAAGAGCAGCCCTCTGGGATGCATCCCACCGGGAACACCACAGGCTGTCATTCCTGTGCTGGACCCGGGAACTGAGAAACACACGAGCCTGCCCAGGGGACGCTGCTGCCGTGGCTGCCCCAGATTTGGTGACCTTGAAGTGCTGCTGCTGCCGGAGCTGCCGCGGTGCCTGCGCAGAGCCAGGGGGGCTGTGCTGGGGTCACGGTGCTGCTGTCAGCCTCCCCAGGGAGCTGCCAAGTGGGACAAGCACCTGGAAGGAATGGCTCTTCCCCTTCCCCAGGCAGGTGATGCCTGCTGGCTCCCTGGCAGTGCCACCACAGGGGTGCACACAGAGCCCTGCACACACCCCACCAGTGCCCTGGGCAAGGGTGAGGGGCTCCTCTCTGCTTCCTACTGTTAAACCCAGCAGTTACACCTGCTGTCAGCACAAAAACATCCCCTTGAAGGAAAATCAAACACACACAGGTGTGGTGGGGCACTCACAGGGAGTTCTTGCATTCCAGGCACATGCTCCAGATGAGGGACCAGCTCCCACTGCCCAAGGAAAAGAGACAGCCCCCCAGCCCGGGAAGAGGTGCATAAGGAGGGTCCCATGCAGGGTAACTGGCTCGATGGTAATTAGGTAATTACTCTACATGTTGCAGGTGAAGAGGACAGGACAGTAAGTGGGAGCTGCCAGTGCTGTTTCCAGGGCTGGTGCTCACCTTCACACTCCCTCTCCCCACTTCCCAGCAGCTTCCCAGTGCTAAAGGCAGGACAGTGCAGGGGGTCAGGGAGTGATAGATGAAGTATGAAGCTTAAATAGCTCCAAAAGCCCATTGCAGTGTCCTCTGCCAGGCAGACTCCAGACTGATCCCATCCCTGCTGTGCCAGAGCCACTCCTGTGGGGTCACTTGTGACCCAGAAAGTGTGGGGTTTGGGGTCATGCCACTGTCCTGGTGAAATGTTTGGAACAGCAATTCCAGGGATGCGTGTGAGACTCCAGCAGTGCTGTGTGATGGGCTGCTGTCTGAAGTTCCCTCTCCTCCCTGTGTGGTTCCCTCCTCGTGTGCTGAGCAGGTGGTGCAGGGAGTTGGACACGTTTCCACGTGGCAGTTCCTCCATGCATATGGTTCCACTGCTCAGGGGCCCTTCCCTCTCCTCTCCTGGCTCCCCTGTGGCAGGTGGACGACATCCTCGGAGACCAGCCAGAGCTCAAGGAGAGGGTGTTCACCGTGCTGAAGCAGTATGCGGCTGAGAGGAAGGTGGAGTGCCTGGCCTATGCCCTCTGCATGGCCCTCACCCAGGAGTCCCACCAGCACCTCATTGACAACATCAGGTACGAGGTGCCACCTCCCTGCTGCCGTGGTGCCATCAAACCATGGGCGTCCATCCCTCTGCCCCCCGGTGACGGGTGAGCAGAGCTGAGTGGTGCACGCATGGGTTGGGAGGTTCCTGTTGGGAAGGGGTCGAGAGGATCCTGCAGGGAGGATGCCAACTCCCTTATCAAGGGACAGCTGAGCTGAGCTTGGTGGCATCTCAGCCTGGCATCCCTGTGCCCGCCAGCCTGGGTGGCTGTCCTGCCCAGGACGGATGGGTGGACATCCCCCCCACCAGGAGCTGTGGTCACGGGCCTTACAGAGCCACCACCTCTGCCTGCAGCAGGGGACAGGGCTCCCATTCCTGGCTGTTGTTGGGAAGGGAGACGGGATTAGCTGCAGAACCACTGGAGATTCCCCAAGAGCCTGGCCAAAAAATAAACTGAGTTCCACAGGGTGAGAGCTGGAGGTGGGCGAGGGTTCAGCCAGGGCTGCCGAAGCTCCAGCAGCAGGAGCAGCTGGGGGAGCTCTGCTGGGCCCACGGGCTGCCTGGGCTGCTGGGCAGGGGCTGCACATCCCAGGGTGCTCTGGCAATGCTCCCCTTGGGCTTGGGATCCCCAGAACCTCTTGAGCCCCTGGAGCAGCGGCCGTGCCAAGGGGGTGCAGCTGATCCACTGCTCTTCCGCAGCGTGGCTGGCACTGGAGACAGAGCTGGTGCTGGCACAGGGACACGTGGTGGGATTATGGCCAGGCTGAGACGATGGCCATTAGGGAATCAGGTCTCCATCTGGCCCCGCTCCGGGCCCGGCTTTCCAATTCCTGCTTTAATCAGTGGAATTGTAAGATATTACAGTTTCCATAACAACGCCCCGGTGCCGGGGTCTCCACCGGGCTGGCGCTGGGGAGGACGGGGGGAGCGGGTCGGTGGCCCTGTCACGCAGCATCCCACTGCTCTGCTGTGACTGCATGTGGGTCCCCTACATCCCCCCACACCTGGGGATGATGGCACAGACCCCTGCAGGGCAAGGGTGCAGAGAGGACCATCATCTCCCCATATCCACCTTGTCCAGGTGCCCATGTCCGGGCTGTCCTGTCCCCACTGGGCATCCTGGAGAGACCTGGCCTGCAAACAGCTGGGGCTGGGGGCAGGGGTGGATGGCACCGAGCCAGGCCTGAGCCATCACCCTGAACTAAATCAAAAAAGAAACCCACCCCCCACAGTTCAGGAAAATTCTTTTCCCCAGCGAGATCTGTGGAAATGCCTCGGATGCCTTCGCTATCCCCTTTGTCATCATCCTCAGGGAATTATATGGGATTACTTCCCCCCACAGAGGGGATTTGAGTAAGTGTCCAAATCTTCTTCTGGACCCAAGCCCCTCTGTGGGGGGCACAGCAGGTTCCCCCCAGGGTGTCCCCATCCCAGCAATCCCCATGTCAGTGAGGGGAGCGTGGCTGGAGCTGGTGCTGCTGTGCCCCCCGAGGGGAGCAGAGCTTGCCCCATACCCACCCTGTGATGTTCTAGGACAGCACCCCAAAAAACGGGGTCAAACCCCCTGGTTGGCCCATGCCCCCGTGTGAAATGTTAACACCAGGGCCTGGGCAAGAGGCGCCACAGATCAGGCAGCTAATCTGGGTTTAATGGAAATGAAATATTTAGCTCAGGGAAAAGATTTACCATATAATCTTAATGAAATGAAGTCAGGAAAATAAAAAAAAAAGGTGCTTTGGAGACCAGGTTTCCCAGCTGCGGGTGCTGGGGGGCAGTGCTGTGCGTGCTGCCGTGCCTGATCCCAGGTGCTGATCCCGGGCTCTCCCATCTGTCTGACGAGTTTGCTTCCAAGAAAGAGCTTTCCGTGTTTTACTCCCACTGAAGGTGGTGAGGGCTCCTGAGTGCTCTGGATGTAGGGGTGCTGTGAATTCCTTGATTTCCACACGGCTCAAACGGGTTCAGTCCATTGGTGACTGAGGAGGGGGTTTGGGGTCTGTGCCACGTGGGGGTCCATGCAGGGGGGTCCCAGCTCTGACGCCGTGCCCAGGGGTGGGGTGCCAGTGTGGGGTGCTGGTGTAGCTGTCGTGCCTGTCCCCAGGGCACGGGGCAGCCACCCTCGGGCAGGGTGTGGGTGCAGTTCAGGTGAGCAGAGCCCATCGGAGCTGACCCAGGGAGCGTCCTGGGGTTTGTCCTTTGGGACACCCCATGAAGGACTTGGGATCATGGGGGTGTCCATCGGCATCCCTGCGAGGCTGTGCCCAGCTCTCCGTGAGCTCTTTCCCCCCGGAATGTGGGGGGCAGTGCCACACACCCCAGACCGTGGCCTCACCCGTGCCTCCCACCCTGCAGAGCCTGGAGGAGAGGAGCCCTCGGAGGGCTGGGTGAGCCACTTCCATCCAGTAATGGGAGTGCCATCGGCCAGGGATGGGCAGGGATGGTGGGGCGATGCTGGGGGCGATGCTGGGGTGATGCCAATAAGGGTCCCCCCCGATCCCCCGGCCCCGGGCAGCTGCCCGAGCCCCGCTGTGGGCACACGGTGGTGGCCGCGGGTGTCAGTGTGTCCCCTGCCACGCAGAGCCAGCGGCCGGTACGTCCCCGTCTCCCGCTGACCCTCGCGCTGGTCTGATTGGATCTTCCCTCTGCACCAGCTGTATTTATTTTCGGGCTGTTGCTGCTGCCGGCTGTCCTCCCTCCCTGCTGTCCCCTCCCTGGGCTCCCCCCGGGCTTTAACGTGCTCCCTGCAAAGTGCTGCTGCTCAGCATAACCCCAGACCCCCCGACTCAGCACACAGATCCAGCCGGTGCTGCAGACACGTCCTCGAGCTGGGCTTTTCCAGTACTGGATTCTTTTTTTCTTTCTTTCTTTTTATCTCAAATGGATTTCATCCCATTTGCCCAGAATTAAGCTCCTGCAGATTTTAATTTGCTGACATTTTTTCATCTGCTTGGTTGTGGATAGCAGGGATAATGCACGTGCTGCGCCGGGTCCTCCCCGCTCCCATCCCCTGCCCATATGGCTGATGTGTGTAGGCAAAGTGCACAGTTGTAGTTCTGCTCAAGGATGCTGAAATCCGGCTGCCAGGGGGGAAGATGAGCTGCCTCGGGTGAGTAACAAGCGCACCGTTCCTGGGAGCGAGGGCAATGGGTTTAAATCAGGTCCATTCTGGAATCTAGCAGCTCCTGGCACCACAAAAACGAGGGGTGCTGGAAGTTAATTAACTCTTATCATCCGTGTTGGCTCAGAGCTGCTCCGGTCAGGGGCTCTGCCGGGAGAGGGAAGCTCTGATTTGGGTTATTCCATCACCTGCAATGCCAGAGGCTGGGTCTGGCCCTGGGTTTGTCCCCTCTGCTCCCCTCGGCCGTGCCGGGGCTGTGTGTGCCAGGATGTGTGTGATGGGATATGTGTGCCAGGATGTGTGTGCCAGGATGTGTGTGATGGGATATGTGTGCAGGGGCTGTGTGTGCAGGGCCTGTCTGTGCCCCACACCAGCCTGGGGAGGGGAGGGGGTTATTTTGGGCAGGTCGGGGTCCCAGGGGCGTGCATCTCTCAGCGCTGCTCTTATTTCTGAGCTGGTTTCAAAGCAGGGCAGAGCTGCGATTCCAGCAGCACCGGCTCTGCACCCAGTGCTCTGCAGTGCTGGCACAACCACCCCAGGGTTCATCCCCGGGCTCTGGGGGTCAGAGTGACCCTCCAAGCCGAGTGGGACAGTGGGATCCCCCCTCTGGCATCTCCCAGGGCTGCGGTACTTTCCCACCCCGGTGTCCTGGGCACTGTCTCCCGTTGAACAGCATGTTTTCCCAGCAGTACCAGAGATGCACCAGCCTCTGGCAGCACCATTTAGGTTAAAAACATCTGTTTGCAGCAGGATTGGTGGGAAACACAGATCCCCTCCTCCCCACCGACCCACATTGCTGGTGAATAAACCACCGGCAGTGATGGTTACACAGATATTGTCCTGGTAACCTGGATTGGAACAGGGGGATGTGTGTGACATCCAGCCCTCCACCCTGGCCACATCCTTGGGGGATAACTCTGGGGCTGTTTGGACTGTGAAATGTTGTCTTGGATCTCCTGCAAGTCCTGTTGTGCTTCAGTGCTGCAGGGAGGATAGTTGGGGGTAGTTTGTACTTCACTGCTTAGGCTGTGCTCCGTTTGCTTCCCGAGCAGCCCCTGCTCCTGCCCCTTTCTCCTTTAGGAAAGCCAGAGGGTGCCATGATGGGCCAAGGTGAGCAGCCACTTCTGATCCCTGACACAGACGAAATTGCTGCCCATCAGGGGTTCCCTTATTATGGGAGCAATTCCACCGAGTTCCTGTTAATAACACTCCCAATATATTTGTCTCAGCTTGTTTTGCACGGCAATAAAATCACTTGGCGTGTTCCCGTATTAAACTACTCCAACCATCTGTGACCGTGCCTGGGTAAGAAATTTCATTTTAGCCGTCAGGATTTATATATTATGGATTGTGCTGCTTCTCTGCTTGTCACCCCCCCCTCCAGATACCCTCTCCTTCAGGGTTGGAGGGAGCTTCCCGGCTCTCTTGGATGCCGATGCAGCACGTGTGACCCCCCGAGCCCCTGCTGCTGACAGGGACACTGTCCTGCTGTCCACGGCCCCAGCACTCCCACTGAAAAGCCACTGGCAGGACAGTAATGGAGGAAAAGCAGCTCTTGTTTTCTTCCATTTAAAAACAATCCCTAATCTGATAGCCCAGCATATGCTCAACTGCCCAAAAAAAAGGGAATTAGGGCAGCAGGGAACAAAACGTGCTACCAGCGAGACAATTGGGAGTGAGTTCCTTTTTTATTGGTGGAGTTCAAATAGGTCATGACCAAAATGCCTCAGTGCAAAATCTCCTGATAGGAGATTAATTTCCTTTGTCAAATCAAACTCTGGCTGGGATGCAGATGGGATCAGCCTGGCCTGCCTGCACCCTGCTGGAGTCACAACTTTTATTTGGGGAAGTGGTTACTTGGTCCAAGTTTTCCAGTGTCTCGAAGAAAACAGGAAAAGCTGCTTTTGTGCTGCTGCTTCAGGCAGAAAGTCAGGGGGGGGCAGCAGGTGTGGTCTGAAAAATGGGGGTGACACAGGTCCCTGCACCCCAGGGTGCTGGTGTGGGACACAGGGTACACATGGGCTGAAGAGGGCCCTGTGTCTCTCCTGTTGTGTCACAGGGGGTCTGGGGACCTGTCTGTGAGAGTGGGGTGGCCTCGAGCCCCATCTGCACCCACTGACCTGGCCACTGTCCCCGATACCTGCGGGGCGATGCCAGGCAGGGTGGAAGTTGCAGAAAAGGTCTTTCTGGGGTTTCTTTGAAGGTTTGGTGTGTCCCCAGCAGCTGTGGGGCTGCCCATCCCTGCCAGGACAGGGACAAAACCACTGGCTCTTGGTGCACAGTGTGGTTTGGGCACAGAGACACCAGGTTTGAGAGCACTGCAGGGTGCCAGGGCTGACAGGGAGGGGGCACCCCCAGCCAGGCACGGGCTGTGGCACTGCTTCAGGGGGAATCTTCCATCAATTGCTACTGGAGCTGGTGCAGGGATGTGTCACCTCCCCAAAAGGTGTCAGGGGTCTTGGGCTGTCCCCAAGGATGAATTGAGTGGCCAGGAAAGGGCTGTGAGGGGCTCCCAGCCCCAGTGCATGGCCACTGCATCCCACCCTGTCTGCACTCCCCGGCGGAAAAGCACCTTCATTCTTCTTTAATGATAATGACAGTCCCATCTGCAGAACATCTGCAGCCAGATGAGTGATTATGGAGCCTCCCAGCACGGGGATAATGGGATAGCAACCCCCGTGGAAATCACAGCTCCATGCTTGCTGCTGGGCTGGAGCGAGTCCCACTCGTGCAGGAGGGTCTGGAGGCACCACATCCCCCCGGAGCTGTGGGAGCTGTGGGAGCTGCTGGAGCTGGAGGCCAGCACGAGGCTGTGACCCCCCTCCCGTGCATGTGAGGTTTGAGAAGCAGAATTTGAGGTACACAAGCAGAATTCCTGTTCCATGGGTAAAGCCAACAGGCCAAATTTTAGCATTTAACCAGGGCAGAAGGGTTTTTCCAGACCAGTAGCTGACTCCATAGCACAGTTCAGACATAATCCGAGCATAGCTCAGTGTTTTAATCCACCCTGGGACGTGTTTTTCCGCACAACTAACAGAGTCAAGGTCAGGTCTTTGCTAGTTGTTTTGAGGCTAAACCATACATTTTTCATTTTTCCTTCCTTTGCTGCTACCTGGAGATTGTATCTGATGTTGGCAGCTCTGGGAAGCTTCACATCCTCTTCATCAAACACCAGTGCTGCGCTTAAAGATGGCGTTATTTAAATTAGAGATGGGGTTTTATCTTTTATTCCTGCTGCAAAGCACTGCTGTGTTACCCTGGGGGTAAAGGATGCTCCCGGGGGGGGTTTGGGCCCAGGACTCTGGTCCTGATGCTGATCCCGGTGCAGCCCGGCAGCTCCACCTCCACACCCACATCCACACACCCGCCGCCGTTTGCCTTTAAGGTTTCTCACCCCTTACAGCAGCACGTAATTTAAACAGAAGCACTTTAGAAGTCAACTAATTAGCACCAGGGAGGCATCCCCCCGGAGTTCGGCGCCGAGCCGTGCCCTCCTTTCTGTTACGAGATCCTTCCAGCTGGAAATCACAGCGACTGCAGTTTTTAGGGAAAGAGAGAGGGCTGGTGCCTGCGAGCCGGGGCAGAGCTGGGCAGGGAGGGCAGAAGTGGCACTGAGGGCCGGCGGGTACGGACGGAGGCTCTCGGTCGATGGTAAACCTCCACCTGGCACTGCGAGGTGGCGGGAGCCAGGCGAGGGCAGGCAGGGCTGGGCCCAGGTGGGTCGCTGGCGCTCCGGCCCATCTGGCTGCGGTCCCGGCACCGCGGGGGTGCCACGCGCCAGGGCGGCACCGGCTGGCGCGGGTTGGGTTGTTGGATCCGGCCGCGTCGTGGGCGTGAGCCGAGGCTGGGGCTCAGCTGCATGAGGATCTGAAGCATCTCCCTTTTGTTCCCGACGCACCCTGACAAATGGGGAAGGACCGGAGTTTCTCTCGGCATTTTCGGTACGTGTCCCTGCTCCGCTCCCCCGCGTGGGCTCCGTGGCCGGGGGGGTGCTGGGAGAGCCTCGTGCCCCACGGGCATCCCCACGAGGGCTCTGCTCTCCGGGGCTGTGGGGACCCTGCTCTGGCACCGGGGCGGCCCTGCCACCGCCCCGTGCCCACCGTGGTGGTGGCACAGGCTGCTGGGGGGACTCGAGCGAAGCTCAGATGAAAAATTGGGGTGGGGGTGCTGGGGAGCAGCAGGAAGAGCCCATCTGGGCCTGCTTTGTCTCCGTGGCTGTAGGCCAGCCAAGGGGTGGGTGGTGAGGAGGGGGCTTGGGCGTGCTGGGTGTGATGGAGCGAGGCCCGGGGACCTCTCGCTCCCAGCCTGGCTGAGCACGAGCTCTGAGCAAACCTGGGGCATCTTCACCTGCCCCAGCCAGGGCTGGAGCTGACCCTGCTGCCCTCCCAAGGGAACACATCCTGCTCCAGTGAGGCTCAGCCAGGTGAGCTCAGCACCCATCACAGGACACGTGCGTGTGGAAGAGGGGATTCTCCAGAGTGCTGGGCTGGGAAATTGGGGAGCCAGCTCCCAGCAAGGGTGGGCTGCAGGAGTGGGACTGTCTACCTGGGGGTGGGCGGCCAGTGACCCACCCGGGAGCTGGAAAATAGCGAGCGTGACACAGACTGAGATGTGTTTGAACATGTCAAAGGGAGCCCTGAGCAGAGCTGAGCCCTGGGGATGGGCACCGGGCACTGGCAGAGGCTTTTCCAACCCACAGCACTGTGCCACTGGCCTGGCCTGGCTGCTTTGGGGATGGGGTGAAGGTGAAGAAGGCTGGAGCCTCTGGGGCCTCTCCTGGCCTGGAAGATGTCCTGAATCTGTGTGTTGGAGCAGAGTGAATCCTCCCAAGCAGGTGCCAAACCGCTGCAGAGGAGGGCTGGTGCCCTGGGGCTCAGCACACCCTGCACGGGCCAGAGCGGGCAAAGGGCTGCAGTGCCCGGGGATGGGGATGCCTTTCCCATCCCTGCTCCAACGGGAAACAGAGCCAGGGCTGACCTGGAGCACCCCAGGAGGAGGAAGAGGTGCATGAGGTCAGTGCTCTATGGCTCTGCCGCTGCTCCCGGGCTGACCTCCACAAATGGGGTGGGTGCATCCCTGCTCCGTGAATCCCGGTGGGATTTGCTGGAAGAGGGACATCCTAGCTGGGTGCTGCTCCTCCGTGCCATGCCAATGGGCAGAACCAGGTTTATCCCATGGGATAGCAGGATTCTGCAAAGCCCCAGGCACCACCTGCCCTGGGCCGGTGCTGGTGTCAGTGTCAGCGCCGGTGCCAGTGCCAGTGCCAGTGTGTGCTTCAGGGGTGGTATCCTGCTGGAACTGAGGCATCCACTCTAATGACTCCCCACATGCTGTCTTTGATGGGTTCCTTTGATGCACCAGACCTGGGTACACGTTTTGGGTGTTGGCACCCTCTGAATCGCAGGGATCAGGGATCCCCGAGCAGCACAGGGCCATCCAGGTTTTGCAGAAGGGAACTATTTTGCATGTTTAGTGGGATTATTTGTAGTCACTCAGCTGTCTCCTTGCTGAGGCAGCGTTGTTCTTGGAGCACTAAGGCAGTGGATGGTGCAGCTCGTGTCCTCATGCCTGGGTAGGGAGCTGTGCTCCATCCTGGTGCCTGGCAGCCTGGTGGTGAAGCAGAGGTTGGTGTAAAATGGGACAGCTCTGCTGGAATGAGCAGGGCCGATTTAATTTGGCCAATTAAATGGGATTGTGCTCATTTTGCCTGCGAGGAACCCGGACTTCTCCCTGGTGGGCGCCCAGCCTGGGGCAGAGGTGTGGGGGACCCACATCCTCCCCTGCCCCAGGGCTGTGGCCGCCCTGTCCCACAGCTCACATCTGGGTGAACTGTTTGTTAGCACAGTTTCACTCTTTTCTAGTTGCTGCTTAATCACACATGGCCTGGGAATTGCACCAATGTGTTACTTGTTTTAAATTGTTACCAGATGCTCTATGTGAGCATCTGCCAGCCTCGGGTGGCTTATGATCTGTCTTCTCCTCCTGCAGCAGCTCTTGTTTTGAGTTCTGCCTTTTGTTGGGGGGAAATAAAGATGTCCTGGTTCTGGTAGATCTGGGATTTGAAGCCTCCCCTTCCTCCTCCTCTGGCTTCACCCAGGTTTTTGTGTTCCCTTGGTGAAGCTGCCCAAGGGAGCCCTGTGGGATCCCCCCACCAGCCCCAGCCTCTCCAGCCGTGTCCTGCCGGTGCAGCCCCTCGGAGCAGATTCCTCTGGGTCCTCTGACACCAGTTTGGCCCAGTTCTTGCTCCCATGGGAGACATGATCCCCAGGCAGCCAGGAGTGTGCTCACACCCCAGTGAGGCTGTGATAACACAAGGAGCTCGAGGTGAGGAGCGTTAATGAACCCCACGAGATGGTTTTGTCTAACGAGCCACTACAGCTGCGAGATGCAGGGAGGGGTTGCTATAGAAACACTCAGAGATAAGGGCTCCTCCTGAAGCCCCTAAATGTGCAAACAGAGGGTAGGGGTAGGTGAGCAGGTGTCAGCATCTCGCTGTTGTGATGGCAGAAGGCAAAAGAAAAGAAGAAGTGCCTCCTGGTGTTAGGGGGTTTACCCCGGCCAAGGTGGGAGTGGTGCCAACGGGACCCTCTTGCACCCTCCTGGGGTCCTGCTTTGCATCCCCTGTGCACCCCCTGAGCATCCCGGGGGTCCCTGTGGGGGCACAAAGGCCACTTGGCTGCTCCTGCCAGGAGAGGGGAGGTGACCTGAAACAGAGTGAGTTCCCAGTGCTGTCCCTTTGCCTGCAGCATCACCGTACCCACCCCTCCAGCACCAACATCTCCCAAAGGGCACAAGGCTCCTGCCTGACTGTGGAGAGAGCTGGAATGTGGGGATGTGCATGGCAGGGGCCCAGGATAGCAAAGTCCAGAGCTCCCAGCAGAGAGTTTGGGGCAGGAGGTGGCGAGTAACATTGTGGGGGTTCCAGAATGGGCTGGGGAAGAAGCAGGTCTGTAGGAGGGGTCTGACATCACTGCCCCAGTGGAGCTGTGCATGGGATGGGGGAAGAGGTGCAATTGTGTCCCTGGTGTCCCCAGCACCCCTGGTGTTCTCAGCCTTGGCATTTACAACTCTTGAAGGACTGGGGTCAACACGAGGGGTTCTGCTCTTTCCTCTCCGGGCGTGGCTGGACCTGGAGCTCTGTGCCACAGCTGCCACGGCCCCGCTCCTCACTCCCCGTCTCGTTTCCCCAGGATTTTCATCCCCAAGAAGCACCGGCAGCGCTTTGACGAGGTGGTGTCTCAGAGCCTGATCAGCAAACTGTGCCGCTCCAAGAGCGAGCAGCACAGCAACCGCCTGCGCCGCAGCCGCAGCGAGGACCACCAGGAGCGGCTGCTCGTGTCCACCCGCGCCAGCTCCGTGCCCCGCAGCCACGAGGAGCTCAGCAAGAGCCTGCGCAAGAGCACCTCGCTCGTCACCAGCAGTGTGGCCTCGGGGGCTGCCCGCAGGTAACACCTCTCCTGGGTGCCCCCCCGGGGTCGTGGCAGCACCGCCTGCTTCGGTGCGGAGGGCAGCAGGGGGAGGGATGCCAGGGAAAGGGAGGGGCACGAGGAAAAGGGACGTGTTCCCTGTGAAACCCTCCTGGGATCGGGATGAACAAACGCCCCTCCCTCTCAAAGTCTGGGCAGGTTTGTGCCCCGCCCTGGCTCTGGGACAGCTTTGGGTCCCCTCAGCGTTGCAAGGCTGGCTGGGATGAGCTGAGGTGGCACTAGCAGGCTGAGAGGAGGTGTTGGCTTCTTGCTGGGTGGGCTGCAGGGTGCCCAGCTGTGCCAGCAGGTTCCAGGGTGCCCAGCTGTGCCAGTGGGGTGCAGGGTACCCGAGCAGAGAGCAGGCTGACAGGAGGGTGTAGCCAGGTGGGGGTCAGCCTGTTTTCCCAGATAACGAGTGACAGGATGAGAAGAAATGGTCTCAAGTTGCTAGGGGAGGTTTAGATTGGATATTAGGGAAAACTTCTTCACAGAAAGGATTGGCAACCCCTGGCACAGGCTGCCCAGGGCAGTGGTGGAGTCCCCATCACTGGAAGTGTTCAGAAACCATGTGGATGTGGCACTAGAGGACATGGGTTAGTGGTGAATGTGGTGGGGGTGCTGGTTGATGGTTGCATTTGATAATCTTAAAGGTCTTTTCAAACCTTAACAATTCCATGATTCTGTGAGTCTATGGCTGGTCCTGCCCTGCCCCAGCAAGTGTCTGGGTGTGAGGCCGTGGGAGGAAGGACGGACAATCCCTGGAGCACAGGGATTAACCCACTTCCCGTGCCCATATGGCCAGACCTCAGCAGCCTTGGAGGGTGCAGAGCCCTGGCTGTGGCTCCTGCTCTGATCCAGCTCCATCTCACCAACAAGAGAGCAGGATCTGGGCAATCCAGGGTGTCTGGCTCCAGCTTGCCTTCCTGCCAGGATAATTTCCATGTGACTTGTCCAAAACCCATTTCCAGCACAGTCTCCCTCCCTGCCAGCACAGGATCTTGCTGGTAATGCTGCCTTCCCCCAGCTCCCTGCAGGAACAACTCCCTGCTCCAATCAGCCTCCCAGCAGGGAGATTTCCCAGTGCTCCTTCCAAAATTTCCTAGAGGAATTTAATTCCTCTCACATCAGCCTATGAGACCTTTGCTCCCTAAACCACATTGTCCCCCTAATTCTGTGTAATAAAGAATCACAGACTGGAGATATCTATACCTCTCTCTCTCTATATATATATATATGTATGTCCTTTAAATATATATATATTTAGCCCACATTCCACTTTAAAACAACGTTTGAAAGACTTTGGTATCAAAGGGACCTTGTGGGGATACTGGGAATGTTGGGGACTTGAGCACTCAGGAGACACCTGGGCTAACAGGGTTGTGGAGGGGCTGGGGAAGGAAACAAGGGCCAAATCTTGGACTCTCATGTCCCATTTGCTTTTTTGTCCTGCAGAACCGTGCGAGTTTATAAAGGCAACAGGAGCTTTGGCTTCACACTCCGTGGCCATGCCCCAGTGTGGATCGAGTCTGTTCTGCCAGGTAAGAACAGTTCCAGCCACGAGATTCAAAATCACTTATTGATCCCGGCTCTGAACTTGAAATGTGAAGTGCTGTTTGCTAGAAAAGAGCAAAAAGGACTTTTCCAAGGCTCCGTGATGGAGTTTTCCCAGTGGAATAATGAGCATCTTTGATACAATTTAGTTTGGCTTCATCCACTCCTCGTTTTGAAAAGTGGAAAGTGTGTGTTCAGTGAATGTCCTGACGTGACACCAGTGTTCCCAGTGCAGGCTGGGTGCTGGCACCCAGCTGGGTGAAGGGTCCCAGGACACCCAGCAGCAGTGGGTGCCCTGCCTGGGGTGTCCTGGGCATGGGTGGGGAGCTGGGACCCCCTCCCAAGCAGGTGCCACCAGCTGAAGCCCCTCCTGTCCCTGTGTGTTTAGGGAGCCCGGCAGAGAAGGCTGCTCTCAAAGCTGGAGACAGGATCCTGTTCCTCAACGGTCTGGACATGAGGTGAGAGCTCTGCAGGCCCCCTGTGTGAGGGGCTGGGCTGGCAGGGGCTGAGCACACGTGTGGGGTCACTCCTGTGCCCCAGAAATGAGAGCTGCTGGGCCTGGAGAGGTGTCTGCTCTGGTGCACGAGGGGTTTTGCCCCGTGGGGACATTTCCTTTAATATTCTTTTACCAAATCTTGCTCTAAGAGTAGCATTTCTCTCCATCCCTGCTCCTCCTCTGATTTCTCTGTGCAAATAACGATGTATAATGCAGGACAGTCTATATAACTGGGGTCCTGACTGCAGCCCAACCCTAGACCCCAATTTGAGCCTCTCTGAGTTAATCTGTATGTGTTAAACACCTGCTTTAGAAAGCAGCAGAGCACCATTCAGCTCATGAATCACTCCCAGGATGGGATCATAAGCTTAAAGCCACATGGGAATCACATTTTCACCCAGAAGTTTATTCTTCTGTATATTATTTGTGCACCAAAGCAATGGAACCAGAGGGGCCCTCACCAGCTCAGGGCAGCAGCCCCTGTGTCCTTGATTGGTCTTTCTACACAAAAACCAAGAGCAAAGGGTTAGAGGAGGCTATAGGATAAGAGAGAGTGATGAATATTTAAAGGTTAAACATCTGATGCTGCTTCTGTCAGGGCTCAGGTTCTCATGTTTCAGCTGATCCAGCAAACTGTTGGCTGATGCAGCATTGCCAGAAAATAGAGGAGATGAGTTGAGGGTTGTCCTCTGAGCCTGTTTTGGCAGTCATTGTCCCAGCCCAGCCCATACCCTTCTCCAAGGGCAGACCAAGATTTTTTTGCCTACAAAATTACACTTTATATTCACCTTGCATTTTCTTATCGTGTGGAATTAGGACAGGCAAGGAGAGACCCGCAGCACTGTGTCACTTAAAGGAAAATTCATTTTCTGGGTCTGGGTGTAGCTGAACACTGGCTTCATGTGCCATGAGCTCCACAGGAGTCCCTGTGGTTATTCCTCGGGGCAGGTAGAGCGAGGAGACCACTCCTGGGGCACGATCCAGGCTCTCTCTCTCTCGAAAGCTCCTTCCTGTGCAGCTCAGGTAAAAGCAAGCAAAGACTGAGAGAAACAGGGGAATCACAGCAGGTCCCAAACATGGCTCTGAGCAGCACAAGGAGGCTTTTCCAAGAGAAATGAAGGCAGCTGCAAGCTCCTTCTCCCTGCTGCTCTCCTGGGAGTGCTGCCCACAGTGCTGCCCACGGGGACAGGCGGCACTGACCCGGCTCTGCTGTGCCCGCAGGAACTGCTCCCACGACAAGGTGGTGTCGATGCTGCAGGGCAGTGGGGCAATGCCCACCTTGGTGGTGGAGGAGGGGATCGTCAACATCTCCAATGGTAAGAGTGGGGAGGAGGGTCTGGAGCGGCAGAAAGCCCACAGCAGCTCCTCAGCTCCCGGTGCAGGAGGGAATTGCTGAGCATCTCCACAGGCTCAGCAGGTTTCAGGTGCTGCCTGGGGGATGCTCCTCTCCCCAGGGCACACAGCCCTTGCTTTCTGGGATCAGGCTGGATCTCAGGCTTGGCTGCTCTCCAGGAGGGCTCATCCTGCTGTGTGATTGTCCTTAGTGTCCCCTGCCAATGTCCTCTCTGTGCAGTCTGTGCCGTGTACTTGGCCGCAGTAACCCAACCCTGTGCATCCATGGTGGCTGCGCAATCCCATGGCTGTGGATGGGCTGTGCTCTGCAGGATAATTATCCTGCTGCTGGGATCAATAATTTACTCGCTGCTGGTGAGGAGTCAGCAGGAGCTGAGGGTGTCTGGGCAGTGGGGTGCTGTCAGCAGGACCCCAGCCCAGGGCACAGCGCGGGCGCTGCTGCGGTTCCAGAGCCGTGTGGAGGCAGAAGGGTCACTGTGTTGTTGGGGTGCTGCTCCACAATGCAGAGACCCAGGAATTAGGGACTGGCTCTTCCCTCTGGAGCAGCAGTGGACTACCCTTAGTCCCACATTAGGAGCCTTGGGATGCCAACTTGTTTGCATGTGTGCCAGAAACAAAACCCAGCAGCCCCCTGCTTCATATAACCACAGAATCCCAGAATGGTTTGGATTGGAAGGGACCTTAAGGATAATCTCATTCCACCTCACTGCCATGGGCAGGGACACCTTCCACTAGACCAGCTTGCTCCAAACCCAATCCAATCTGACCTCCTTCAGAGTACAGAGCCAGTGGCACTCAAACTGCTCCACTGCCCTCAAAAGAAACCAAGAAAAGATGGAATTTTTTTTTGCAGACTCTGACTCTCCTGAGTCCCCGAGCAGCTCCTCCTCCCTCACCTCCCTGCAGTGGGTTGCAGAGATTCTCCCCTCTAGCATCAAGATTCAAGGAAGGACCTTCACGCAGCAGCTGGAGCACCTGCTGACCCCGCCCGAGCGTTACACCATCTGCAAGGCGCTGGAAGGCTTCTTCCAACACCGGTAACTCCATGGCAGCTCCACTCCTCCCGTGCTGGTGCCCGGCCCGTGGCAGTGCCCGGCCAGAGCTGGTGTCAGCAGAGGCAGAGCTGGCTGGGGGTCAGTCACAGTGAGCTCTGCTGTCCCCAGCTGGGTGTTCCCTGGTGTGTATCCGCAGGGCACGAGCCCGCCTCTGTCCAGTGTCCCACCTGAGGGCAGGGCAGATCCTTCAGCTTTTCAGGTTAATTCTGTCACCCCAATCCCTTGGTCCCCCCAGTGCAGGCTCTCTTGCTGTCCAGCTGTCCCTGACAGCCACAGATCCTGTTCCACCTCTTTCAGTAAATCTCTCCACGTTCATCTTTGTCTTCTCACTCTTCTCAGCATCTCAGCTGCAGCATTCCCTTGGTGGCAGCACGGGAATGGCTGTGGCTGCAGAGCCCTTGTCCTGCCATGGAGCACATGCCCCCTGTCCTGCTGCAGGGATTCAAACTGATCCCCTGGCACACTCTGGATTTCAACAGTGACCTTGTTTCCTGCCCTTGCTTGGTCTTCCAGCAGTGTTTTACTGAGGCCTGTCACAAAATCATGGAATGATTTGGATTGGAGGGGATTTTAAAGGGCTTCCAGTCTCACCTCCTGCCATGGGCAGGGACACCTCCCACTAGCCCAGGTTGCTCCAAGCCCCGTCCAACCTGGTCTTGGACACTTGCAGGGATGGGGCAGCCACAGCTTCTCTGGGCAATCTGTGCCAGGGCTTCCCCACCCTCACAGGGGAGGAATTTCTTCCTGTTGTAGGCTGTTCTATCCTCCTCCCTGGATCAGGTGCTCAGCCCTGCTATTCCCAACAGCCCTTTCCCCATCTTTACACACCACAGAGCCAAAATGAGATGAAAATCTTCAGCCATGGGAGGCTGCCAGCCCAGCCACCCTCCCTGGTGCATTTGCCCCTCAGCCTGCTTACCTGCTGCTCACCAAAATTCAGGTCTTTCCAAGGTTTCTCTCTGCTTTCTGGTGCTTCCTCACCCTTCCTACTCAGAGGATAATGGAATTGCCTAGGCTGGAAAAGTCCTCTGAGACCATCGAGTCCAACCATTCCCCCAGCACTGCCACGGCCACCACTAACCCATGTCCCCAGGTGCCACATCCACAGGGTTTTTAACCCCTGCACCTGTGCTGTGAAACCGTCGGTTCGTGCTGGAGGCTCCAAGGTGATCCCGCAGCCCAGAGCCCGGTGCAGGCGGGCTGGGAGGTGCCGGAGCCCCGGGAAGTGGCGTGGTGGGACCATGCCCTGGGGATGCACTCCCTGCCCAGCCCTCTCTCTCCCGTTCTGCAGGAATATTGACACTCTCATTGTGGATGTGTACCCGGTGCTGGACACACCGGCCAAGCAAGTCATCTGGCAGTTTATCTACCAGCTGCTGACGTACGAGGAGCAGGAGCACTGCCAGCAAAAGATTGACAGGTTTCTTGGGTACAAGTCCTTGGCAGGTGAGAGGAAAGTCCCTGTGCTCCGAGATGGACACGCCGTGTCCCCCCATGTCCCGTTGCACTGGGAGCCGTGTGGTGTTGGAATGAAACTCTGCACTGAGAGGAGGGATGGCACCTCAGAGGGTGACTCTGGGAGCAAAGGCTTTTGGAAGCTGCTCAGGTCGTTAGAGGTGAGGAAGTCCAGGAAGGGAGTATCTGGTTTAAGGGCAGTGTTCAGAGCAGAGAGGTAAAGTAAGTGGTGGCACAATGTCCCTGGGGATGTTCCCAGCAGTCACACAGGCATCCGTGGTTGGAGGAGGTGAGGAGTGAGGTGCTGCTCTCCCAAAAAGACATGGAGGGCAGTTGGTGATCCCCCTTCTCCCTGGTCCTCCTGTCCCCTCACCATCACCTGGTTCTGTGGCAGCACAAACCTGGCAGCAGTTTGTTTGCTGAGGGCAAATTTGTAGTGAAATGTCTAATCTGTGCATTTGGGCCCTTAATTGCTTCCAAATTCTTCTACTCTCAGCTGTTTACATTGATGTGTTCATTTTAGACTCAGTGAAGGTAAAAGAGATGTTGCTTGAAGAGAGACTTTTGGAGGAACACAGTTATTTTAGCAGTAAACACCTCCAAGTCCTGGTGCAATCCTGCCTGTTGTGCATGGAACCCTGTGCTCCTGCACCCTGGGTTTGCACTCTCAGACACCTCTGCTTTGTGTGTGCAAAATCATGGCTCAGCCTGCATGAGGGGCTGTAGATTCCCAAGGATTTATTAGTGTATAAACGAAGAAGTTTGGAGCTGTATTTCAGGAATACAGACCGGGTATCCACGGCCAGGGGAGGAGGGAAGCACAGGAGTAAGTCTCTCTGTACCAAACTGTTTCAGGCTGGAATTGTTCCCAATTCCAGGCTGGTCCCTGGCCCCTCCCAGTTTCTCAGGTGAACAGGGCAGTCTCTGACCATGAGAAGTTCTGGTTGTTCTGGTCCATTCTGTGTGTCTGTGCATGGAAGTGCACTGCCAGAGATCTCTGAATTTGGGCTGGTCCTTCTCCCGGGCTCCCAAACTCCGGCGATCTCTGGTGTCTGTGCCAGGCTGTCCAAGCCCTGCTCTGTCGGGTCCCTCGGAGATGCTCCTGTCCCTCCATCCTGCTGCAAGCCTGAGCCTCCCCGAGCTGCCACCCTGAACTGCACGTGGACAAGGCACACAGAGCGTGCGGCAGCATTCCAGTGCTGGCCCCGCTTCCCTCTTGTTCCGTGAGGACAGGAAGGAGTTTGCTGGGACCAGCTGGAGTTTTGTGCGCCCCATGAGCTGGTCGATGCCAATCCTGCTAGAAAAAGTGGTTGGATGTCCCATCTCTGGGCATCCATCCCTGCCCTGTGCTGGCAGGAGCATCTGGAACCTGCTCAGCTCCCCAGGGATGGTGTAGGATGGAGGGAGTGGGTACCAGGAGATAGCAGCCCCCGGTCCCATGGGCCTGGGGGGCCCTGTGCTGTGGTGAGAGGGACAGGGGAGCTGTGGGGTCTGGCCCTGCCTTACAGAGGTGTCTCCTGCTGCAGCCGAGGCAGAGGTGGAGGATCGGTTCCGCAGCTCCATCCGAGGGGCCTCCCTGTGCCGGGGCAGCCTCCGGACCCCCCGCCCCGAGGAAGGGGGGGCAGCAGGTGGGTGATGGGGGTGTGGGGAGGAGGGGGCTGGGACGGGGGGATTGTGCCTAGAGTGTCCTTCTGCTCTGCCCCAAGCCAAAAGCCTGAACTATTCCTAAGCTTGAACGGTGGGAAAAGATGGAGGAAAGGATTGAGGTCAGAGTAGAGCCAGCACTGAGGCTTTGACTGGAAATCCATGCTTTCAGAAACAGTTAGAATCATGGAATCATAGAATAATTAAGGTTGGAAAAGAGCTCCAAGATTATCAAGTCCAACCTTTGACCAATCACCACCTTGCCAGCTAGAGCAGAGCTCTGAGCACCACGTCCAGTCATTTCCTGAACACCTCCAGGGACAGCAATTCCACATTGAAATAAGCTGAAATAATCAATTGAATAAGATGGGGCTTGGTCTGAGGCTGAACATTGTTTCCAGTCCCTTCCATTGCTTGGATGTGAACTTGTCCTGCTGGTCTGAGCCCTCCCTTCTGGGGGACACAGTTTAAAGCTTCCCTGTGAACATTCTCAGACCCCATCAAATTCACAGGGAAAACAGCATTTGTGAAATCCCTGTGAGGAATAAGATCATGGCTCAGGGCCGCTTTGAGACTCTTGATGAACCACATTCAGGGCACAAACCCTCCCTCCCTTCAGAGGACACGGCATCCTGCCTATCCCCCATCCCTCTTGGCTGATGGCAAAGGGCCCTTGGTCTGTGCTCACAGCTTCTGACCACGACCTCCCCACCACGACCTCCCCATGACCTCCCTGCCAGGACCTCCCGGCCATGTGGTGTTCCTCAGCTGTCAGGGGGGTCTGAGACATTTCCCGGGGGAGATATTCCAACCTGAGGAGCCTTTCTGGTGGAGATTAGAGCTCAGAGAGCGTCTGACAGCTGTGTGTGCTGGAGGGAAGCTGCTTGGCTGGGCAGATGTTCACCAGCTGTGGGGAGCAGCCCTGTCCTCAGCTGCCCTGAGGGAAGGGCAGAGCAGGCTGGAACTGCAGTGCTGACCTTGGGCCCACCCGCGCCGGTCCCTCGGGACCCCCAGAGGCGGCAGCTGGGGCAGGGAGGTCACTCCGGGTCCCAGTAGGAGACAGGGGGACTTCGATAGGCCAGGGCCATGGGGAGGGGGGGGCACAGGCAGAGGAGTGACTGGTTTGCCTCTTCCTTCCCCAGGCAGTGACACCGTGGAGGTCCCAGTTCGCCTGATCCCTGGAGAGAGACAGGCTGGTGACGGCACATCCCTCCCGGAGACACCCAACCCCAAAATGGTGTGATGGGGGGGGGAACCTGGGGAGAGCTTTGCTGGTGTGTTGGGACCATTGCATCCATGGGGAGGGCCAGCAGTTCGATTCCACTACTGTTAACACAGGAAAGCAGGAAAAAGGGAATGGGGAAGGATGTGGGTAAATACCTGCTGTTGGCTGACAGTGTCCCTGCCTTGGAGCCCATCTCTGAGGTCACTTCCCTGGGCAATTAGTCACCTTTAATGAGGCTGGTGTCTGCCTGGGCTGGGGTGAACCCCCCATTGAAAGAGTAAGAGAGGGGGACTGGTGAGTCCATGGGGGCTGTCCTGTCCTCAGGACACTGCAGGTCTCTGGGGGTCCACAAGCCCTGTCTCGATTCAGGCACGGCAGCAGCTCTCTGCCCTTTCCCAGATGTCGGCTGTGTACGCAGAGCTGGAGAACCGCCTGATCGGCGGCTTTGCCGGCAAGGTGGGAAACGCCGCCCTGCACAGGACATCGCCCCCCGCCCCCGAGCGGGCACCGGCCGCAGGTACCTCCGGCTGCCCACGGCGGGACAGGGGAGCCTGGGGAGGTGATGGTGGGTGCTGCTGTCCAGGCATGTGGAGGAGAAGACAACTCTTGGCACCTCTCGGTGCCCTTTCCTAATGGAGCAGTGACAGTGCCACGTGTAAGCGCAGTGACGGCTCCTGCAGAGCTGCAGCTGCGGGAGGGCAGCGGGGTGGGTGGGGTGGTGAATCCTGTGGGATTCCGGAGTGCTGCCGTGCAGCGCAGGGCACTGCCTGCGGAGGTTCCCTCTCCCTCTCCCTCTCCCTCTCCCTCTCCCTCTCCCTCTCCCTCTCCCTCTCCCTCTCCCTCTCCCTCTCCCTCTCTCCCTCTCTCCCTCTCTCCCTCTCCCTCCTTCTCCCCACATTCCGTCGGGGCAGGGGCTCGTTGCACCCGGGGGCTGCAGGGCCGCCGTGCAGGACCCTCGGCAGCGCTCTGTCCCGCAGGAGCTCGCCGGCCGGGCATGGGGCTGTCGTGGCCGAGCGAGCCGCTGGGCTCCCAGCAGTGCTACTACCGCCTGCACAGCAGCGTGGCCTCCCCGTGCAGCACCGAGTCCAACCCCTACGTGAGCCTCGACAGCAGCCCGGCCCCGTCCCCCAAGCACCGCCACTACTCGCTCAGCCCTCTGTCGCGACGGAAGAAGCTCTTCACCTTCTCCAGGCCCCCCCGCAGCCGCGACACGGATCGGTTCCTGGACGCCCTCAGTGAGCAGCTGGGACACCGCGTCACCATCGTGGATGATTTCCTCACTCCCGAGAATGACTACGAGGAGGTGAGCGCGGCACGGGGCGTGGGCTTTGATTGTGCAGCTTCTGGGGACGCGTCCTGGGGCTCTGCGGGTGGCAGAACACCCCGCGGGCCGGGTGGATGGAGGATGAGGTGCCACCTCTCCTCTCTCCCTCGCCCAGATGAGTTTCCAGGATGACCAGGGCAGCTATGTCACCAACGACGTCAGCAGCAGCGAGTACATCAGCAGCAGCGACGAGGGCAGCTCCCTGACCTACTCCACGCTCTCGGACCACATCCCCCCCCCGCCGCTCAGCCCCCCGCCGCCGCCGCCCCCCCTGCAGTTCCACGACCCCCAGACCGTCCCCACCAAGGCGGAGGCCGCGAAGGCCAGCGCGTCACCCGCCCCCAAATCCCTCGTCAGCCACCTGCACCCCATCCCGCCCCCGCCGCCCCCCCCGCCGCCCCCCCCGGTGCCCTGTGCCCCCCCCCTGCACCGGGGGCTGCTGCACCGCCGCAGCGAGTCCAACCACATGAGCGTCAAGAGGCTGCGCTGGGAGCAGGTGGAGAACTCGGAAGGGACCATCTGGGGACAGGTACGGCCCGGGGGCGGGGCGGGGGCGGGGGTCCCAACCGTGCTCTGGGGTTGGTTACCTGTGCCGGGCTGTGCGGGCCTTCTTTTCATCCTTTGAATTGTTTGGACCCCGAACTGCCGGGCTGGGCAGAGGCCCTGGAAAGGCTGCAGTGTCCTAGGGAGCACGTGCTGTCCTGCCCTCGGGGGCTGACAGAGTCAGGAGCTGCCTTCAGAGGGGTTCTGCAGCTGTGGGAGGTTTTATCAGTGGGAAACAATGAAGATGGTTGGAGCAGAGTGATGGGAGAGTACTGGAAGGGGGAAGCAGAGATGAAGGATGAGACAAAACGTGACAATCCTTTGGCACTGTGGACTTGAAGTGGTGCAGAACTGGCCTCGCTGGGCTTTACCTCCCAACCTGTGTCTCTCCTGATGTTCAGCACATGCTGTGTTTTCCGTGCCCTGAGCAGCGAGGGGGAAGCTGTGGGATCATCTTCCAGTCCCACAGGCACTTGAAATCTTGCAGATCCCTCTCTCTGTCACTCCAGAGAGAAAGATGCTTTTCCCAGTGCTTTTTATTTTTTAGGTAAAAAATTCCTGAAGTTTCTGGAATTCTCATTTTATCCATCAGTGCCCAAGTAGCAGTGAAGGCAGAGATGCTCTGCAGGATTTCAGCTGTCAGGAGTCAATCTGCATGGCAGTGACCAAGTCTTCAGTCACAGGACAATGCCAGCACCCTGTCCTGGTTTTTTCTGGGGACACAGAGCTTGGTCTGGAGGACAGGGAACGGGCCCAGCACAGGCAGGCACTGTCAGGCTGTTGCCTGTGCCAGCACAGCTCCTGACTCTTCCTCCTCCTGCAGCTTGGGGAAGACTCGGATTATGACAAGCTGAGTGATATGGTCAAATACCTCGACCTGGAGCTGCACTTTGGGACACAGAAGCCCACAAGTAAGTACCTGAGCCCCAAAATAGGTCCTGGTACCAGCCAGAGACCAGGGAGTTGGGGGGAGCTGGGAGGAACTTGGGCTTGATGGGCAGCAAGGCAATGCCTTGTCTGTGACATCATACATGGCATGAATTTGTTCATACTCAGGATTTTGTGACTGGTGGCACAGTGGATCATTAAGAAAGAGATGGTTTCATTCTCTCTCTTAATTGTCTTTGCTGCCATGACCTGTTTTCTCTCCACATTTCATTGGGCAGTGAAACTCGGCTGCAGGGTTTCACCAACTGCAGCTCCGTTTGAAAAAGCTGAAAAAGCCATGAAATCATCAGCAGCACTTTTCTTTTTACACACATAATCTGTTGATTTCCCCCAAAAGCTGTGATGGGCACTGGAGCTCCCTGCCTGTCAGCCCCCCATTGCTCTGGCACTGGGGTCCCCTGAAGCCCCACCAACTGGGGTATCCCACCCACCAGAGTTTCTGGGTGCCACAAACCCAGAGAGGGAGTCCAGGCTGGAGGTGCAGAGTGGTGGTGGCTGGGGTAACATTCCAGTGGGGTGTCTGAGCCCTCCTGCAAGGGACACTGTGCCCAGCTGCCAGTGGAGGTGGGATAAAATGGGATTCTTTTCAGGGAACACCTTTCTGGAGATGTTTCTGGGCAGTCTGGGATTTTCTGCTTGTTTCACCTCTTGTTTTACCTTTTTCAGCTCCAACTGAGTCCTCCATTGAGGAGATCTTTGAATCACAGAATTCAAGGATTCCGGAGCCACTGCTGTGTGCAAAGCATCAGTTCTCCTCTCTTTCATTCATGGTTTCATTGCTTTCAGGACAGTTTTCTTCCCGCTGGAGCTGGCTGAGCCTGTCCTTACCCATGATTAAATCTTTCAGTTTCTCTTCCAGAGCCAACTCTCTTGCCTGAAAACTTTAAAAAGAAAGACGTGGTTGAAATTTTGTCCCACAAAAAGGCCTACAACACATGTAAGTAAACTCCAGAGGGAAGGTACCCCCAAAACAGGCCAGGTGGGACCAGGGATGTAGAGAACTGGAAAGGTAAAGGGAAGGTGGCTACATGAGCACAGTCCCATGGGCACAATTCCATGGGCACAATCCCATGGACATGATCCCATGAGCACAATCCCAGAAGCACAGCTTGGCTGGGATGGACTTTTCCTGCAGCCCAGAGCCCCTCCAGACTGGGTTCAGCACCATTAAGGGGAAGAAGTCGCCTTTATGGGAAAGGCTGGAGATGGGATGTGACTCACTGGCTGGGGAGGGAGGGGGCAGAGCCTGCATGGCCCCCTGGGGTGAAGTGGGGCAGTGCTGCTTCTCCAGGATGTGCTTCTGGTAGGAAGGAGGGTGAGAGTGCTGGGTGGGACCTACAAGACTCCAATTCCCGGATCCCCTGATTCCCTGGCTGTGGGGAAGGTGGGAGTGGGGGTTGTTTCCAGTGCAGCCCACCCTGACTGTGTGGGTGATGCAGTGCCCTGGAGGGGCCTGCAGGACCAGAGTGGCTCTTAAGGTCCCCTTGCAGCCTCTGCAGGGCTGTGGCAGCAGAAAGCCCTTCTTGTCCCAGTGGGCACATGGAGAAGGCCACCACCCTCACAGGGTGGAGGGACTGAGTTCACCTCCTGTCCCAGTCCTGCCAGGCGGTCTGTCCCCAGCACAGCCAGCCCGGGGCAGGGGTCCCGCGCTCCTCCCCTCCCCAGTGACGTGCCTCCCTTGCCCCCAGCCATCCTGATAGCCCACCTCAAGCTGTCGCACATCGAGCTGCGCCAGATCCTCATGACGATGGAGACGGACCGGCTGGAGCCCTCCCACATCAAGCAGCTGCTGCTCTACGCGCCGGACGGGGAGGAGGTGCAGCGCTTCCAGAGCTACAAGGAGAACCCCGGCAAACTGAGCGAGCCCGACCAGTTTGTGCTGCAGGTACCTGCGGGCAGGGACGTGCTGCGGGAGCGGGGGGGCTGCGTGTGCCGTGTCCCCTGTCAGCAGGACACCGGGCACGGGGGGGGGGACGGGAGGGGCTGGTGGCACTGGTCACTGTGACCGCGGGGCAGAGGTGCTCGGGGTGATGCCTGAGGGGTCTGGCAGCTCCCGTGGGGACTGGTTTGGAACTGAAGAGTTACCCCCACGTTTGCTCCCTGGTGAGAGTGACTTTGCCCAGCTCTGATTTACTTTCTATTGCCAAAGTCACTCGTGGATGTGGGTGTGAAACTCCCTGTCCCGTGGCAGCAAACTGGCCCAGCTGCTCCACGTGTCACCTGTGCCAAGCAAGTGCATCCTGCTTCCATGTACAGGGCAACATGCCAAGAAAAGCATCGTGTAGGAGGGATTGTGGCTAATGGGGACGGTCCCTTTCTGCTCCTTTTGCTCCCAGATGCTGTCAGTACCCGAGTACAAGATCCGCCTGCGCAGCCTGCACTTCAAGACCACCCTGCAGGAGAAGACAGAGGAGATCAAAGCCAGCTACGAGTGCATCTGCAAGGCCTCCCTAGAGCTGAAAAGCAGCAAGAAGCTGGCAAAAATCCTGGAGGTCAGAGCAGTCCTTCCTTCCTGAAACAGTCACCATGGGCCCTCAGCACCCCACAGGAGCATCCCTGGGCAGCTGCAGGGCAGCTCCAGCCTTGGGCCCCTCCAGGACCAACTGGGCCAGGGTCCATCCCTGGTGTTGGCTTGTGGGGGTCCTGGCCTCAGGAGGATGTGGGGGGGCGGATCACTGATGGCCACACACCCACCTCCAGCACAGGGAGGGCTGCAGGAGCCGGAAACGTGCCAGACAGGGCCACAGCAGAGCCCACTGAGGCTGTCCTGGGCTGTCTTGGGGCTTGAGGATATTTTGGGTCTGTCCCAGCAGTCGCTGTGTGTGTCCCCACACTTGGGCAACACTTCAGGCAGGTCCCTGGGGATGGCCAGGGCTTGTGCCAGCCCTGCTGTGGTGTGGGCAGGGTCCCCACAGGTGATTTTGGCATCCTGGGACAGGCTGTGCCTGGCAGAGAGAGAACATATCCCACTGTAGTTCGTCCTTGACCCTCCTGAGACGAGCTGCCCCAAATTACTGTCATTAAGTAATTCATTTGGTTTTGCCTTTAAAAAAAGCAGGTGGGATAAATGAGGTCACCATGTGACCAAATGCATTTCCAGAGGAGAGATGAATCTCCTTAGTGGCTCCTGGCCAGTAACTCCCCAACAATTCCTTAAATCCTTGGGGGGCAGTGGCTGTCTGCACATTAATGGGTGGTGAACAGGAATTCAGAGCCCCAGGAGCTGAGAAATGCGATGATAGAGGTGCAGGAGGTCACCAGCCCCTCATTCCCTGGTTTTCTCTTTGCAGTTCGTGCTGGCAATGGGAAACTACCTGAACAACGGGCAGCCCAAGACCAGCAAAACAACAGGCTTTAAAATCAACTTCCTCACCGAGGTGAGGCAGGGCAGGCTCCTCCTGGGCAGGAGGCACTGCCACTGGGAGCTCTGAGTGCCCCGTGCAGCAAACCTGCCCTAAAAGACCCCTGAGTGCAGCGGCTGCCAGAGGGGGGACGGGGGAGGTGGTTGGATTGACCCATAGGGGTGACTTCAGAGAGACCCTAATGGGGCTTTGGTGCTTTGGTGTGTTGGGGAATCCAACCTCAGGCTGGCCAGAGCCCACAGCTGTGGGGTGGGAGAAGGAGGTTTTCATCCCACGTGGGTTCTGGTGGGAATCCTGAGGGATGGGGGACAGGGGGCAGCCCTGCCCTGTAGGAGGGAGCATCTCCACGCTGCTGTGTGAACATTAAATGTGCCATTTAACCATTAACCACGTGACATGGCTGGGCACTGCCGTGCATGTGAGCGGGGTGAGCCGGGACCCCAAGGGAGGGACACCCCGAGTGTGTGGGGAGACCCACCCCCTGTGCAGGGGCACCTCCTCACTGCTTCTGCTTTGCTGCAGCTGAACACGACCAAGACTGTTGATGGGAAATCCACCTTCCTGCACATTCTTGCCAAATCCCTTAGCCAACACTTCCCAGAGCTCCTGGGCTTTGCCAAGGATCTTCCGACAGTGCCGCTCGCTGCCAAAGGTAAAGGAAGAGAAGCACCTGCAAGCCCCGTGTCCCCTTGCACTGCCTTCGGGGTTTGGTTTGGGTCTGGGGTCAGCCATGAGCTGCACAGCGTTGGCATGAGCAGGATGGGAGCCAAAACAAGTGAGGAATAGCCCTGAGTGAGAAGACAGGGTAGGGACCTGCTTCATGGAAAGGGCTGTCCAGCCCTGGCACAGCTGCCCAGGGCAGTGGTGGAGTCCCCATCCCTGGGGGGATTTAAAAGCTGTGTAGATGTGGCACTTGGGGACATGGGTTAGTGATGGCCTTGGCAGTGCTGGGGGAACAGTTGGACTGGATGATCTTAGAGGGATTTTCCAAACTAAATGATTCCACAATTCTCTGAATTTAAATAATGCTGTGAATCTCTGCAAAGCACAAGCTGCATTCCTGTTGCACACCATTCCCTGCTGTTTGTGAGCAATTCCCTTGGGAATTAGTGCTACAGTGGATAAATAAAGGAGCAAGTTCAGGCCTGGAACAGGACACTTCCACTTGAGGAAGGTCTGTACCTGTAGCTTTCCCAGCTGGAGTTTGTATCTGGCTAACTGTTAAATGACACTGCTGTCACTGGAGGCTCCCAGCTCCTACCACTGTATCACCCTTTGTCCTGTGTCCCCCTGTCCCCTCCCAAGTCCCTGTGTGTCCATCACTGCCCTCGTGCTGGTGAGTCCCACATGCTCCTCGTCCTTGGCATGGCCCAGGATCCTTTTAACATTCTTAGTATCCCTTGGTCTGAGCACCAACAGCTGCTGGCAATGTGCTGATCCCATCAGGACAGTCTGGTTGTGCCTGGACAGCACGGACAGGTTGTGCAGAGCCCTGCAGACACACAGCCCGACCCCCTGACCGACAGCCCACGCTCATTGTCTGTGCTCTGCCATGGGAATCAACCCAACCCGTGCCCCCAACACTGCTGACTCCTGTCTTCCCCTGCAGTGAACCAGAGGACACTGACAGCCGACCTGAAGGACCTGCACACCACGGTCAGTGACATCCAGCTGGCCTGTCACAACATGCCAGCCACCGCGGAGGACAGATTCGCCATTGTCATGACTGTATCCTTCTGTCAGAGGGGCAGGTCACCAGGGTGGCTCAGTGCCCTCCAGTGAAACCATTCTGTTGTCTTTGTGGCTCCTTGGGAAGCAGCCGGGCTGTGTCTGGCACCGTCTCAGTACTTGTGGAAAACTCCCTCATTCTCAGCCGGCGAGGAAACAGATTCTGTGGTGCCCACCGGCTCAGCTGCCCCTCTGTGGCACAGCCCCAGTGCCAGGGAACGTGCCACGGTGCCAGGGAACGTGCTGGGTTGTCTGTCCCTCAGAGAAGCACCGTCAGGGACAGCTGAGCTGCAGCACCTCCACACGTGTGTGTGCAGCAGGTCCATCCTGACACCTGAGCTGGAACCCAGCCACTGATAAGAGATTGATAAGTGATTCTGATCCATACCAGACCCACGGAATGGCTGTTTGTCCTTAAGCCAATTCCCTCAGTCCTTCCTGGAGAGTGCCCAGCCTGCCATGCGGTCTCTGGACGACCTGCAGCACAAGGCCATGGAAGAGTTCAGCAAGGTGTTGTCCTTTTTTGGGGAAGACTCGAAAATGACAACTTCTGAAGCTTTCTTTGGCATCTTTGCAGAATTCATGAGCAAGTTTGAGGTGAGCCGAACCTTTCGAAGTCAGCCAGAGGTCCCCTGTGAAGTGTCAGTGAGGTGTTTTACTTGGGTGTGAGTGGTGGGAATGAGATGGGGTTTTGTGAGCATCTATACCCAAGTGTCTGCAAGGGTAATTTTTATAACACTGATAAAGTGCAATTTTTCTGACATCCAAGTTGGCTGGCAGGGGTGGGAGGCTGAGGGAGGGCTGGTGGTCCAAGCACCAGCCCCAGGCAGGGTAATGAAGTTGATCATAGCATCCCAGAACAGTTTGAAACAGACCTTAAAGCCCATCCAGTGCCACCCCCTGCCATGGGCAGGGACACCTTCCACTAGCCCAGGTTGCTCCAAGCCCCGTCCAACCTGGCCTTGGACACTTCCAGGGATGAGGCAGCCACAGCTTCTCTGGGCAGCCTGAGTGCCCTGAAACCTCCTCCCTGCCCACAGCAGCCGCCCATGCCCCACACAGTCCCTCTCTCTCTCCACAGCCCGTGCCCCACACTCACCCTCTCCCTCTCTCCCCACAGCCCGTGCCCCACACTCACCCTCTCCCTCTCTCTCCACAGCCTGTGCCCCACACTCACCCTCTCCCTCTCTCCCCACAGCGGGCTCTCAGTGACGTGCAGGCGGGCGAGAGCCAGCGCAGCCCCAGGATGACCTCTCCCCTCGCCTGGTGAGGGGCCTGTGGTGACCTGAGCTGCCACAGTTCATTGCCAACAAAGTGCAATTTGCTCCTGTCGAGTTTGGTTGTAAATACGCTGCTGCCACCTGCTCCCACCCAGCAGAGCCACGGGCGGAGGGGCCGGGGCAGGTGGGCACTGAGCAGGCACTGCTGGTGACAGTGGGTGGTGTGAGGGTGAGGCACGGGGACACGAAGGCAAACACTGCACTGGGCTTGATGACAGCTTTTCTAGCACCCTCCATCTCCAGTGGATTCCTGAGTCAAGGATTTCAGACCCATCTGGTGGAACTCCACTCGCTCGAGTTTCCAGAAGAAGAGAACTTCCCCACGTCCCCCTGGCCATGGCCCAGCACGGGGGGCTCTGCCCAGGCAGGCACCACTCGCCCCGCCAGCCTTGGGGCCGGGGTTAAAGCCCAGCCACAGAGTCCCTGGGAAGCCAGAGCACGTCAGGCAGGGGAGGGGGTGTGGGGGATGAGGAGAAGGGATGCCACCAGTGCCTGCTCCCCCAGGACCCTGAGTAACAATACTGCTGAGCTGCTCTCCAGTCCCTCCCCAATCCTGTCTGCCCTGGAGCAGAGCATGTGGGGCAGGAGCTCCACCTGAACAGACTGTAACAGTGGAACAGACATCACTGGAGGTGGTCTGCAGGCTTTAATTCCCTGCCATTGCCAGCCAGTGGCAATGGAAAGCAATAGGACCTTGCAGAACCCTTCTAACGTGTCCATGTGGTCCCAAGTACGGATCTACCTACCCAGCTTCATCCCGCCCATCAGCTTTGCTTAAAGCTGTGCCAGAGGCTGATGGATCTTGAAAGCTTCTCAAGAGTTTAACACATCAGCACAAGGCTTATGGAACTCGCCAGCAGCCAGAAATCCCTGAGCATTTTGGTGCCTCCTTGGAAAGCAGAGAACCCCTGGTAGCCTGAAAATGAGTGGGAGTCCTCTGCAGCCCCGAGTGCCTCTCCAAGGCACAGCAGAGACAACAGGAAATGCACCCCCTGCCCTCCTCCAGTCACTTCCAAGAGCTGGAGTCCTGAGTCCCTTTACTGTTCATGGTGACCATCCCAGGGAACTCCAGAGGTGTGCATGTCCATCCTCCAGTGTCCATGTCCTTCTCTCAAGGTGCATGTGTGTCTTTCACTGAGTCTGGCTGTCACTGAATTCCCATGTGGGATGGAAGGGGAGCAGCACCCCATGGCCAGTGCGTGCCCCTGAGGGCGACAGGGTGCCCCGAGAGCTGCTGGCAGCAGACCCCAGTGCGCTGCTGCTGTGAGACATCCCTCTGTGCAAAACGCATCCGTTGCCTTCCAAGCCTGTCCCGCTCCCACATCCCCCCCATGGCAGTGCCCCAGCAAACCACGGTGTAGGGACCCCCCTCCCCATTGCCAGAGCAAGGGCTCGTCCTGCAGCTCCGCTCAAGGACACGACCACCAACCGGTGCATTATTTCTGGGAGACCTTACGACCATCAGATCTCCAGGTTTTGGTATTTTTTTAAACCCTGCTGTAGAAAGTGAAGTATATTTTCACAAGTGTTCTCCGTTTATACAGCTTTAAGTGCCAGGTAGTGTGTAGCCTTGTGTTCCCAGAGGTCCAGACCTGTCCCTGCCCCGATGGAGGTGACAAGGCCACGCTCCCTCTGCTCCATTTTCCCTCTTGGATGTTGCACACTGCATTCCATTGATTTTTTCTTTTCTTTTCTTTTCTTTTTTTTTTTTTTAAATACATTCATTGTTTAAACCACCGGAGGTTCTTTGAAGCTGTCATGACAGTAACTGCTGTACATAGATTTTGCTACATGTTGTAACTTTCCGAGATAGTTAGAACTCCAACCCCTTTGGTATTTTTATGTGATATTTTCAAAGAACCAGAACTTCTGGTTATATGATTTGATAATGGGACTCTGTATATTCACAATTCAGTCTCAACCCAACGCCTATGTGCTACTCCCAAAATAAAGCTACTGCCTTCTGCCTCCTGACTTTATGGGCCTCTGTCTTCTGTCCAAAATTGCTGCCGTGATGGTGTGAGGAATTCTGCATCTGGCACTTGTGCAACTGCACTCGTTAATGTTGGTCCTTTACACCTGCAGAAGAGAGACACAGGGTCTCACCTGCCTGGGCTGGGGCAGAATCACTGCCTGAAGGACCTCAGCATCCAGGCTGGTGTGATCAATATGAGCAGCAAATTCTTAAAATAGTATGGATTTTTTCCTCCAGCCTTCAGAAGAAAACATTTAATGAGCATATGAGCCAGTGAATTGTTTCCCTCTCAAAAGGAATTCTTGGCTGAGGTTGAGTTTATGTCCCAGGAGTCATTTATCTCCCCTGACACTAACAGCAGATAGATAGGGAGCAGCTCCATATCAGATGTCCTGGTTGTAGATTAGCTGTTTTACAGCAGCCTGCTCGATCCCTGGGTGCTCCCCAGAGGCTGGAACATGGCTCTGTGCAGAGTTATCCAAAATAGCCCCTGCTGAGCACGTGCATCTCCTTCCCATCCGCACGCAATCCTGAGTGACATGCTCCAGGGGAGCAGGGAGGTTGGATTAGGTGACCTCCCGTGGTCCCTTCCAGCCTGAACCATCCTTTGATTCTCTTTGAAGTGCTCATCCCACCTGATCCCACCTGGCTCTGCTGCAGCCCCAGGAGCCTGAGCTGCCCAGTGTGGCTGTCACACCTCCCACTGCCCGGGCTGAGCCCCCAAACCACCCCCAGAGTGATGTCCCAGAGCCCCCATGGCACTGTGTCCCACACAACAGCCTCATCATTCCCTGCACGCTCCCATTGCTGGGTTTGGTAACTGCAGACATGAGGTAATTCCTCCCTGGCCCTGGCACTGGCCAGGCACTCTCCTTGGAGCCTCAGCCCAGCCTGAACAGAATTCCTGCGTCAGCCCTGTCACGGGATCATCCTCACAGGAAAGCCTGTCCTTGGAAAGGAAATAACAACTTGGGCAGCAGCCGGGGCCGGCGCCGGGAGTGCAGCCGTGGCTGCTCCTGCTCCAGGGGTGCCACTGCCCTCCCCTGGCACAGACCAGGAAACAGTGACCCTGGAAATCCCAAACATCGGATTATTTAAGGCTTTTCACTCTTTCCTGCAAGAAAGGTGAAAAAGACCTCAAAGAGGAAATGATAAGCTCGAGTAAGTCACTGTGAAAAGAGGATAACAGCTGGGATTCCAGGCTGGCACCCCCATGGCAAAGTGGAACCACGTTCGAACCCTCCCTCCAAGTATCTGGATAATAGTTTGAATGGCCTTGATCTCTAATTATTTTCCAGGTGCCAAGAAAAATGCCAAAGAGACAGAGATCTCAACTTCAGGCTGGAAGGGCTGGAGGTCAGGAAAAAGTGGCACAGACTGGGAGGCAGCATTTGCAGCCCTTGAGGATCCACCTTGTTCTAATATGACTTAGGAAAATCTGGGGTTTCCAAATTGTAGCAGATCAAGCTAAAGCATTTCCAGCAGCAGGATTCAAAGACCTTGTTACGTTCATCAGAACTGTGAGTGGGAAACATGAGATAAAATACAGATACTGAGTTTTTCATGGAATCATCGAATCCCAGAATGGTTTGGGTTGGAAGGGACCTTGAAGATCATCCAGTTCCACTCCCTGCCATGGGCAGGGACACCTTCCACTAGCCCAGGTTGCTCCAAGCCCTGTCCAACCTGACCTTGGACACTTACACGGATGGAGAAGCCACAGTTTCTCTGGGCAATCTGTGCCAGGGTCTCACCTCCCTCACAGGGAAGAATTTCTTCCCAATATTCCATCTAATCCTGCCACTCTCAGGTTAAAACATGCCCTTAGGGGGTCACCTACAGTAAAATTCCCATTGGTAACTCCACTGTTGGGACATGGAATAAGTTTGTGTGAGGACAGTGCTCGTGCTCCATCTGCCCTCCCAGCCCAGGGGTTACCTGCCCAGCAAGGGGTTTCTCAGCAGTGCTGCCTGGGGCTCCACACACCCAATCCAGGGCTTTGTGAGCTGCCTCCTGCCATGGTCTCTCTGTGCTGCGAGGTCCCTCTTCAGCATCACTCTCTGTGTGTTTTGGCCCCAGTGGTTTGTCAGGATCTTCAAACAGATGATGCTGAAGACAAATTTCCAGCCTGGCCCAGAGGGGGATTTGATTCTGGGATTAACCTACAGCCTCAGCAGTGTGTTACAAATCCCAGCCCGGATGGATCCTGCTCTCTGTAAGGCTCAGGCACAAACACAGGGACAGGACCAGCGGTCAGCTCCTCCCTGTGCCACGGGCTGTCAGCTCCAGAGAACATCAGCACGGATTTTTTATTGTTCTGTGTCCCTTCTGTAGCTGCACAGATTGCTTAAGAGAATGGCACTCTGTGGAGTTTGACCCAAGAGCCCTGATAGTGAAAATAATACACTTCTCACCAGAGCCACGGGAGACCAAAAGAGTAACTTCGGTCAATTAGTTTAACTTTGACTATAAATATTCCTTCTCATTCCTTGTGACCCTGCTAACAGCTCCGCTGGCAAACCCCGATTCTCTGGCAATATTTAAGCTGCCTGTCAGTTGGCAGAGCCCTGGTGGTGCCCGGCGCGGGGAGCAGAATAAGACCCAGCTGAGCACAGTAAGTTTCCTTTCGGCTTCTACCTCGAGTGGGGGAGCTCCGGTCGGGTTCGGGGCTGGCGCTGGGCTGCTCTCGGCCTGGGTGAGCAGTGGTGTCTGTAGGAGGTGGATGGACCTGGGAACGCTTTAACAAACCTGTTGAGGAGGCATTTAGAGCGCCACGGTGCCGACGGGTTCCTCGAGAGCCACGTGGGCTGCGTCCCCCCGGCACCGTTGATAAAGGGCAGCTTCAGCGGCTTCATTTCAATGCCACGGATGTTCCTTCCTCACAATCTCTGGCGAGGAAAGCGCCGCTGCCTGTGCCAGGCACCGAGGGAGAGCAGGCTGTGAGCTGAATTCACAAAACGGGCAAAATTTCCACTGGGCCGTGGCAGAGTTGGGACCTGGAACCAGAGCAGCCGCCTCTGCTGTTTTCCTACCACCAGCCTGCGTGCTGGCTCGGGAGTGCACGAGGAGCTTCACAGGCACCTGTGCTCAGCTCTGGGAACCTCCCCTGGAGCGCATCCCACCTCTCCATGTTTACTGACAGGCACAACGTGCCTGCAGAGCTCTGTCCTGCTCTGCACATGTCTCGGAGGGAGCAGACACGACCCTGCCCACCCGTGTGGCTGAATCCTGAGTGTGAGCGAGCGCGTGTAGCTGCAGCACTGGCTGCCCCTCCAGTGCAACCCAGAGCGGGACTTTGATGACCCTTGTGGGTCCTTTCCATGATTCTGTCATCCTATGGCCTCCCGAAACAGCAGTATCAGAGGGAAAGTGGGAGGTGCCAGAGTGGGGTTAGCAACTTCCCCAGGCTGACATACCAAACCCTGTTTTTCTTTTCCTAGTTAGAGGATAAGCATGCCAGTAAAAACTCGGCAGCAGCCAAGACACATTGGCTCTTAAAGAGGTAAGATAGCACTGATCTGGTCATCAGTGCTCTGCATCCTTGCCAGGCAGAAGCTCCCAAGGGAGTGGGATCCAGGGGGTTTATAAGGCACAGAAAAGGCTCTGCCAAGGTGCTGCAAGTCCCTGCACCTCAGCACCGGGTGAAGCCGGCGGCAGTTGTGACACACGTGGCTGTGGGACAGGTCCTGGTCCAGGCTGTGCCGCCCTCCCGGGGCTCAGAGGCAGAACTCGTTTGGCTGCTCGTCCCATCTCCCGTGCCGAGTGCCCCGGGCTGCCCCACCTTTTTCAGCTTTTTGCAGGGGGTAGGCTTATAAATGTCTCCTTGCAAGTGTAAGAGAGGCCTAAGGACACGGCCAGCTGTGCAGGGCAGGGACCAGCAGACACCCGGCACGGCCGTCCCGGTGACACCAGGGCTGGGGCCAGGGCTGCCGGGGCGAGGCAGTGCCAGGGCTGGTGAGTGCTGGTCCTGCTCCTCTTTGGAGGAACCATCTCCTTGGCTCAGCAGGGTAAGAGGAACGATCCCAAACCTGCTCTGTGTGGCACTGAGGGTTCTCTGGGGACCGACAGCAGCCACTGCTGAGCCAGGGGCTGTCTGAGTGGCCCTGGATGCCACTCACCTCCTGTCCTGCTCTCAAAGTGTGGCTGAGCCGAGCTGAGGGGAGGAGGAAACTGCTGGAGCAGTTCATGTGCCTTCACCTCCCACGGCTTGTCACCAACGGCTCTCCACAGCCACAGTTCTGGCAGCAGCTGCTCCCTGAGGCCAGTCCTGCAGCGCTGCAGCAGTGGGACCCTCAAGCTCTCATCACCAGCTCTGCCACATCCCGCTCCTTTCCTCCACATATTTCAGCTATTTCTACCTTCTCTCTTATGCACCTGTTTCTCCTCAGTTAGAAAATTGCATAAGAAATCCCACCAAGTCATGCTGTCCTGACTGCTGGCAGCATCTCCACATCACAGAAAGGGTGAAGACAAGATCCTTCCCCACAGCTCCGGCACGAGCAGCTGGAGCCAGAGCTGAGAACCCTGAATTCCTGAAGGAACAGTCACCACATTCCCTGGGCTGCCACATCCTCCTCTAAGCATGTCACCTGTTCTTTAACAGGTTTATGCACCAGGACCAAGGAGTGCTCAGCCTGCCTGAGAAGCCATGGAGCCCACCAGTGTCCCCCCGGCCTCTGTGACCCCCTCGTGGGACGCGTTCCCCCAGCAGACGCTGGAGCCCGTCGACATCGCTGTCCTCGTGCTCTACTTCCTCTTCGTCCTCGCAGTCGGGCTGTGGGTAAGCAAACACTCTTAAAACCTTCCTGTGTGCCTTGTTATGCTGAAAAACATGGCTGGCTTGGCCTCAAATTATTTTACTTTGGCTGGAGTCAGGCTTCACTTCGCTGGATTCAACTGAACAAGTGCAAAGAGGGAGTTTACAGGTTGTTCCCCTGACCTTGGCCTGGGGAAGTGTCCTGACCGCTCCACTGGAGAGCTGGTCAGCCCTCTGTTTGCCA